TTTTGGGGCTGGTGAGGAGAGCGGCGCGGCCAAGGGCTGCAGCAGTGGTGTGGGCAGCACCCGCTGCGATGCAGCCTCATAGCCTGGGTTGCCTAATAAAGCTTTAGATCAATATCTTGGCAAAAAAGAGTGGCTGGTTTTTTTTTTTGTTCTTGCTCTCACCGCCCCAGCCTGCGAGCGGCCAGCATGGCCGGCGCTGGGGAGCACGCATGCCTCCTGGCCGGGAGGGCAGAAAAGCTGAGGCGGGGAGGGGAGCTGCCTGCCTCCCACGCAGTGTTTCCGACGTGGCGTGTTTGCTGCCAGCAGTTTGTCACAAACAAAAGAAATTCAATCATCTTGTGTACTTGGTAATGGCGGGGTGGGGGGACAGGGGTCTGGCAGACTCTCTGGATCATGGCCACGGGAGGCTGAGGGGATCCGATGGAGGCCACCAGCCACAGCGTTTGCTGCTAAATTCGCCATCACCACCTCAAGCAGGGCGCGGAGAAGGAGGGGAGGGGAAGGCGCCATGTTTTCAAGTGGCGGGAGCAGCCCGTCCTGGGGGAAGTGTTGGTGCAGGCGCTTGGCTGGTTTGCTGAGGTAAAATATGGTTGCGTGGTGGCGAAACCCAGGTTGGCTGGGGGGAAATGCGGAGGCGCTGAGGGAAAATGCAGATCTGCTGGGGGAAAATGTGGTTCTGCTGAGGGAAAATGCAGATCTGCTGAGGAAAAACTGTGGAGCCGAGGAAAAACATGGACCTGCTGAGGAAAAATGTGGATCTGCTGAGGAAAAGTGCAGATCTTCTGAGGCAAAATAGGGATCTATTAAGGCAAAATGCAGATCTGCTGAGGAAAAACTGTGAAGCTGAGGAAAAACATGGACCTGCTGAGGAAAAATGTGGATCTGCTGAGGGAAAGTGCAGATCTTCTGAGGCAAAAATGTTGATAAATGCAGATCTGCTGAGGAAAAACTGTGAAGCTGAGGAAAAACATGGACCTGCTGAGGAAAAATGTGGATCTGCTGAGGAAAAGTGCAGATCTTCTGAGGCAAAATAGGGATCTATTAAGGCAAAATGCAGATCTGCTGAGGAAAAACTGTGAAGCTGAGGAAAAACATGGACCTGCTGAGGAAAAATGTGGATCTGCTGAGGAAAAGTGCAGATCTTCTGAGGCAAAATAGGGATCTATTAAGGCAAAATGCAGATCTGCTGAGGAAAAACTGTGAAGCTGAGGAAAAACATGGACCTGCTGAGGAAAAATGTGGATCTGCTGAGGAAAAGTGCAGATCTTCTGAGGCAAAATAGGGATCTATTAAGGCAAAATGCAGATCTGCTGAGGAAAAACTGTGAAGCTGAGGAAAAACATGGACCTGCTGAGGAAAAATGTGGATCTGCTGAGGAAAAGTGCAGATCTTCTGAGGCAAAATAGGGATCTATTAAGGCAAAATGCAGATCTGCTGAGGAAAAACTGTGAAGCTGAGGAAAAACATGGACCTGCTGAGGAAAAATGTGGATCTGCTGAGGAAAAGTGCAGATCTTCTGAGGCAAAATAGGGATCTATTAAGGCAAAATGCAGATCTGCTGAGGAAAAACTGTGAAGCTGAGGAAAAACATGGACCTGCTGAGGAAAAATGTGGATCTGCTGAGGAAAAGTGCAGATCTTCTGAGGCAAAATAGGGATCTATTAAGGCAAAATGCAGATCTGCTGAGGAAAAACTGTGAAGCTGAGGAAAAACATGGACCTGCTGAGGAAAAATGTGGATCTGCTGAGGAAAAGTGCAGATCTTCTGAGGCAAAATAGGGATCTATTAAGGCAAAATGCAGATCTGCTGAGGAAAAACTGTGAAGCTGAGGAAAAACATGGACCTGCTGAGGAAAAATGTGGATCTGCTGAGGAAAAGTGCAGATCTTCTGAGGCAAAATAGGGATCTATTAAGGCAAAATGCAGATCTGCTGAGGAAAAACTGTGAAGCTGAGGAAAAACATGGACCTGCTGAGGAAAAATGTGGATCTGCTGAGGAAAAGTGCAGATCTTCTGAGGCAAAATAGGGATCTATTAAGGCAAAATGCAGATCTGCTGAGGAAAAACTGTGAAGCTGAGGAAAAACATGGACCTGCTGAGGAAAAATGTGGATCTGCTGAGGGAAAGTGCAGATCTTCTGAGGCAAAAATGTTGATCTGAGGAAAAACATGGACCTGCTGAGGAAAAATGCAGATATTCCGAGGAAAATGAGGGATGTACTGGGTTAAAAGCAAGGACTGCCCTGGATGCAAAAGTCTCCGGGACCTTTGGGCTGTGTGGTCCCTGCGGCCATGCCTATGGGACAAGGTGTGGGGGTCACTCGGACCTTAATGCTGTCCAGCGAGGGCCATGCCACACTCTGCTGTTCCATCATGGGTGTGCCAGCCACCGGCCATGGGTGCTGGGGACCAGCTGGGTGCGTGGGTGGCATTCAGCAGCCTGGAAGTGCTGCAAAACAAGCCGTGGCTGGCTGAGGCTCTAGTGATGCCTCCTCCTCCTCCTCCTCCTCCCCACACCCCTCACACATCAATTTTTGTCTTCCCCTCCCATGGCTGAGTGTCCTACAGCTGCTGTCTGTGCCCATCACAGCCTCATCAGGGCTGTGGTAGGGACCATGGGTGCAGGACACCCTCTGATGCTCTACATGGTGGGTCACAACCGCATTGCGGACAGTTCTTCTCCATCCACATGCCTCCCTGGGACACCTCCTACGTGTTGCCCATCAAGGGCTGTTATCAGGGGCACAGAGGCAACCATGATGCTTCAAGGAGGTTGGGTGCATGGATTGGGATGAAGGATGCTGAGGGAGAGGTGGTGCTTTCCCCCCACCCCTGCCAAGGAAGTGTTGTGGGATCTCCACCTGCCATGGTGGACCTGGGGGGCAAACCCACAAGACCACAGGTGGTCTTGTCTCCTTCAAGGAGGTCAACGGCGCTGGCTTAAGCACGGTCTGCTGGGGCTTGATGCGTGAAGGATGATGGCGGCATTCATTCATAGGGTTGAGCATGGTCTAGGAAGAAGACACCGGGCTCCTCCAGCACCGGGCTCCTGCGCTGGTGGCTGCAGCCCAGAGGAAGGATGCTGGGTGCAGACACGGTCCTCCATGGGCCTGGTGATGCTGCTGTCCCTTGTCCCACCGCTGCTCACCTGGTACCCCTGCCAAAAAAACCCCGCGTCTGCCTGTCCTCCTGTGTTTGTGCTTATGAGCTCTCCTTCCACCTACGCAAGGAGCTATTTTTAGCAGACACTAATCAAGTGTCAGTGCTGGCTCTGAGCGTGGCTTTCAAGCCGAGGGCTCATGCTTTCGCCGAGCGCTTGCAGGAACTCAGGCACATGTTTCTTTTAAATTCGGTTGAGAATTTATACAACATGGCACAGAGCGGTGGCAGTTATTTCAGGCTCATCACACCTGAGCCCACACGGAGTTATCACCTGGTGACTCTCCATTTCGGCAAGGGCCTGGCAGAACATCCCCCTCCTGGCCCCGCTCTCCTCGCTGCTGTGCCGAACCCCTCAGGAGCCGTCTCTGAGCCAGGGACACCCTGCCAAGGGGTAGGTTTGCTCCTCTTGGCCCCATCTATCTCCAGCATGAGGATGTTGCGTTGGTGCTTTGAATCATTCAGGAAAGGAAAATACTCTGTGTTCAGCCACAGGGGTCACAACCACCTCTGACTAAACCCACCTCGTGGGGCTGGCCGGCTCCCCTTCCGCTGAGGTTGCTCTGGCCTGCTAACAGCTTCCTGCAGGCCGTTAGGAGCCCTGCTCCCCACCATGCCGCCCGCAGCTCTGATTCACCACGAGCAAAACGGTGTTCGGGTGAGCTGTGTTTCGCTTCGGCTGCTGAACTGAAACAGGGGCTTGGTGCTTCTGTAGCTAAAGCGTGATGTGATTCGAGCTGAACTTCAGCTTCCGTGTAGGCACCAAGAACGGCCTCTCCTCTGGTACCAACCCTTCGCTTGGACCTAGAACATGGCAGCACCTCCCTGGCGCACAGCAGCCAGAGGTGGGAGCTGGGGAATAGGAGCGGAGCGGTGGGTTTTAATCCTGCTCACAGCTCTGCGGTGGGCAGGAGACCTTGGTTTGAGGGGGGTTACGCTGTCCTTGCAGAGAGAGCGCATCCCGTAGGGCTCTCCCTGGGCTGTAAGAGCTTCAGTGTTCGCCTGAAGAGAAACAACCATCACCCACCTGTAACCAGCACAAAGACAGAGCCGTAACAGCCGCCCCACGGCTGCGGGGGCAGCCTGCTCCCCAACAGCGGGGTCTCTACCTCCCACCGCCGCTTGCAGCACCTCCCCTCCCAGGGCAGCCATCCCGAAGGATGGCGAATCCTTCAGGGCACCCCTGGGGAGTCACAAAGAATGGCTCCGTTCAAGAAAAACCAGAGAAAAAATTTAATATTTTTCTTTATAAAATATCTCCAATAAGTTATATAGGCAAATATTTAAGTTAAAATAAATTAACTCCGCTCTACGCTGGGACACACGACTGTCCACAAAGTCAAACTAGGATTTATGTTTCTTTGAAAAAATATGCCCTCGATCTCCAATGTAAGATTTGAAAAAAATATCTATGCTTGGTGAGGAGGAAGGAGAAATCTCTGCAATGGACTGAAGGGGTTAAGGTGCGGTGCTGAAGCTGCCCATCGCCAGTGGCATCTCCACATCCCAGCTAAGTGCTAAGAGCATCTTCATCGTCGCTCCAGTCAGGAGGAGCGTCCGTCCCGAAGTACCGATCGCCGAAGTTCCCTGCGGGGAGAAAGAGAGACGCAGTCGCGGCGCAGCTCTGCAGGGAGCCCGGGGACCCGTCCTCCAGCCCGCCCTCGGCCCAGCAGGCAAGGAAACAAAAGCGAGTTTATCCAACAGCTTGAACAGCTCTAAAACCCAAGTGGCAGCAAAACTGGAGCAGCCTGGAGGCTGTTTTAGCACCCTGTGGCAGGGGTGTTTCCTAGCACAGCGGAGGCGAGGACAGAAGAACAGAGTGAGCTTGTTTTGGATGAGCTTAAGGTGACGGCTTAGGGAATGGGGTGGGCACAGGTCTGCTCCAGCTGTCCCAGCCCGGCTGCTCCACCTGGGGATGGAGGAGGCTCACAGCACGTGGATCGGCTCCTTCTGCCAACAAGGCTAGGGCTGCCTGACGGTGCTCAGAGCGTGCATGTCGGTCCCACCACCCACCTGGCAGCAGGACCCAGGAGAGGTGGTAGGTCCCCGGCTAAAAGCAGGCCAGACCTAAGCTGCTGCTGACACCCAGGGCTTCACCTCTGCTGCTGAGTGGGCCAGAAGCACTGAAAATTCCCCCGCAATGGGTCATTCCTACCTAGATACTCACCGATGCCGGGGATTATCCGGAAAAGGTCATTCACCTTCTTGTCCACGGCTGTGGTGATGATCTTCACGCGGGGGAAAGCGTAGGCGACTGAGTGGACACCCATCTCCGCCATCAGCAGGGAGAGGAGGAAGATCTTGTCTTCTGGGACATCATGATCCTACAGAAAAGGCACCGAGACAGCTCGGGGTAAGGGTATGGCAGGTTATGGCCCGTACCTCCAGGGAGCAGCACTCACAGCCTTCCTGGAGCCACTTTCTCTCCCCTCCCCATGGCCAATTGGGGCTACTGGGCACAGGACCAAGAAACCAACTCAATCCAGGCTGTTACACAAGAAAGGGGTGACTTTGTCTGGTTACAGAGTCCCCCCAGCTTGTGCCGTCTCCCAGGACACCCCCCTTTGCGAGGAGGAGACAGTTTCAGTGCAAGGCCCCTCAGCACGGCTGCAGCCGGTATTTCGCATGGTATCTGGGAGTGAACCACCCGCCCTCTGCAGCGCGCCCGACATCCTCCGTACCAGCAGCACCCGCACTGCCATCATGGCTGCTGCGCCCGTGGAGACCGTGCAGTCCATCAGGATGACGTGGTCTTCGCTGATGTCCTTCGGCAGCCGCAGGGAGTGGAGCTGGGCAGGGGGAAGAGAGGTCGGCTTAGAGGCTGGGGGG